GGGGGGGGGGGGGGGGGGGGGGGGCGTTAAAAATAGCAGCATTTACAGTACAGCTGAGCCTATGCATTTGAAGGAAGCCGATGAGATGTTCTGCCTGGGGGGGCAAGCAATGCTCTGGAGAGCTGAAGAGAGGCAGGGAGCTGAGTGTGGGTGAGGAGACAGAGGTAGGTGGCTGGGTAGAGCCAGTCTATTCTCTACCTGAGGGGGGTGAAAGCCTATAGGCTGTGTTAGCACGAGCAGCATGCGGCCGGCCCAGAAGCAGAAGGACCCTCAGGCCTAATTTTGGGACGGCCGAATTAGAAACTCCCATGTTGAGCTGCGGCGTTTCAGGCGGTCGATGGGATGGACGTGACCGCAGGATAGTATCTGAAAGGAAGGGCGAGGGCGCAGAGTGGCCAGTTCTCGCCGTTCAAGACCGTCTAACACGGATGGATGGTCTGTCTGGTGAGATAAAGCCACCCGATGGCACCCAGAGTGCAGTGACGCGTCAGGCCAAAAACGGCGCCCCCCACAGCCAGAGCTGTGAAACAGCAGATTGCTGGCTTTCATAAACAATCCCTCAAAAATTACAGTGTCCTGGAGAGAGATTTATTTTTACATATTAAAAAGGATGAGCAATAGTTGTAACAGAATATCAACCGGAAAGGACACAATCAGCTGGAGATTCCAGCATCCAGGACAGAGATCTAACTTTACATATTCAAAAGGATGAGGCGTAGTGATATGACAGCAGAACGTTAGATGGAGAAAATGAAGATGAGTCCAGAAGAGATTTACTTTAATGTGTAACACTGGATAGCTGTAGTGATTTATTTATCGACACTAAATGTCACACGTTTTAAAACTAAAATCTAAATAATTTTTGTCTGCAGGACTAGGTGAGACTTTGCCCTTTCAGTCTGCAGGCTGTCTGCTTTCTGATTGCGTTTCCTGTCCAGCTTCTTGGTGTCCTAAGCGCACAAGAAACCCACAATGCTAATGGGCAGAAAAAGAGGGATACAACAGATTCGGATTGACAAAAATAGAAGCGTGCACCGCCCTTTGCCACAACGAGTGTGTGTGTGTGTATGTGTGTGTGCGTGTGGGTCGTCTCTCTTCTCCCTGATGAGGGCTCTGATGTGCTGGGTAGCTCTTCAGGGTAACATTCAGAAAAGACAAAAAAATAAAGCACTCCATTGGCCACAAGAGCTCAGTGAAGCCGTCAGGAGAGACATGGATTTAAAGGGACGGAGCCCGAATCCATGCTTTATTCTGTTTATTTTCCCCCTTTGAGAGAATGACATCTTTTAAATGAATAATTCTTTTTAAGAAAGAGGTATTCGCAGAATAAGTGTGTGTGACGTATTTATGGAAATGAAGAGGATGGCAAACGCAGTGGATAATTTCGATGTCAGGACCGTGCCAAGCGGTGATAGAGACGGGGGGTCGTGCTGTATTTTAGGTGCCCTGCCTTGTGCCAGCGCCCCTCTGGTTGGTCATCTGAAGGTCCTGCTCTGCTCCAGGGGGTTTTACGTGACACCCACCCTCCCCCGACATGGCTTTAATGACACGTCCAGCCTGCCACACCACGTTAGCACTGGGCACTTTTAATAATAACATTTGGGATGGGGCACTCGTGGGTGAAGCCCCCAGGCAGCAGCTGGGGGGGGGGGGGTGTATGAAGACGTTGACTTCTCGCACAAAGCCCCCGGGTTGCTGCCAGCCACCGACGGCACGTGCCCGCAGAGACAAAGCAGAGATCTGGCTGTGCCAGCTGCCTCCATCCTCGGCAAGGGAAACTGCCCCATTAATCTCAGATGCCGTAGATCCGTGAGTGAAGGCGGCGGTCATTTGTCCGATGGGGGGCCCTTTAAAAGAGTGAAGGGAGGCCACTTACATGTGCACACCTGTCGAGACATGCCCTGTTTTATGCACATTTCCCCAGTGAGAGGTAGAGGAGATACATCATGCAGTAAGATGGTTCTGGAACTTCTCGCATCACTGGCCCATGTGACCTAACACTGCCTAGGTGAAGGGGGATTTACAGAGCTTGCAGTACCAGGCACAGTAGTTAAGGATCCGACCTTCACTCATAGCCTGTATCCAGCAGACAGAGAAGCATGGTATAAGAATGACTGTCAATAAACCCATTAATTTTGGTAATATGCAGATGAAAATGATGCCTTTCTTTTATCAAACTATTAAAGCTGGAGATTTTGAAAGGCTTCCACATGGACCCAATGGAAGCTGTGTGTTTATTTGCTAAAAGGTGCCTCTGTGGCTAAGAATAGAAGGGACAGCGATTTGCCAGTTTGTGTTTATCTCAGGAGGTGCTTATTCGCTCATTGATAGCTTATGCAGTCGCGCTGTCGTCATCCAGGTCAGTCAGCATGGAGCCTGGGGGGGGGCTGGTCCATCACCAAGCGCATGCACACGCGCATACACACAGATTATGTATCTATATTACCATTTATTATCGGCATTATTATCATTATATTATCTGACTCTCCAGTCATTTCTGTGGGTAAAACTCTAATCCCACCATGATGACCTTAACCCCCACCCAGCCCGAACCTTAACCATAAGTAACCAAACGTAATCCAACACTTTTGGCATTTTTTGTTTTTTGATTGCAGTCACTAACACACACACACACACACACACACACACACACACAGAAATGCCAAGCACTACCACACATGGTCATGCTAACTACTCCAGCAATGCTTCTGATTGTCATCTCTTTTAGCTGATTTTTGATGTTGTGTCTGAAACAATGGAAAGTACTTGTGGTCTCAGCAGAGGTCACAGTCACAGAGTACTCAACTGGTTGGTTGAAACCAAATCTTGGTCTGGATTTGTACTCTCTGGACCTGAAATCTCCACCTCTGGGTCTCAGTTACTCTTTTCATGACCGACTGGCAGTCACAGTGCAGCCATTTCATTGGTAATGTTATATCTCACCACATCCAGAGTGTTTTACACTCACACAAGCAGACTGACTCCCCCTTATGAGAGACTGACCCATTCCTTGAATACTTCTCATAAGATGAATCAATTTCACATTCCTTTCAATGTTATAATGTATAATTGGTCCCGGAGCACACATTTTTCCATTAATAATGATAATTCTTAATACATGCACGCAGTGTTTAATTTGAAAATCAGAAGGTGCTGGAACGCGAAGGGCATATGAGAGCAGAGGGGTACTGAGGCGGCCACAGGTCCCGGAAGGCGCACAAAACACGGTGCAGAAATCATGCTATGTATTTTTAAGAATAACTTATAAACAATGTGAAATTCTGTGAGTATTGGTCTATAAATAAAAATGCATACTTATTTTTGATATTTTTATTATGTTATTGTTTTTGTGTGTTTAACTAAAGAGCTGCCAGATCCATGCAAAAAGGTGACAGAACACAATCAGTCAAAAACAGAGGTGTCCAGGAATGCATTCTGGCAGGATCCAGCATAATTTAAGCACTGTATACATGTAATAATACATACGACCTAATACAACAATAATAAAGTTACATTTCTGGCCAGTGATTCAGGGGGTTTTAAAGTTATTGTCTATGTGTTGGGGGGGGGGCATACCTCACTGGCACAGTGTATGCTTTGTGTGTGTGAAGTGCTGGACTCCCCAGCATCTCCATCGTGGCAGAAGACTCTCCACATGCAGCCTGAATGTTTGGGAGGGGCAGTATGCCTGTGATCAGAAGGTTACTGGTTCAAATCCATGGGGTACCAGTATGATTTCAGCACTGGAACCCTGAGCAGGACCCCCCACCACAATTGCTTTCTCCAAAAAAACATGTTGCTTTGGATAAAAGAATCTACAGAATACAGATTCTACAGATCTACTGTCCATTAGGGAGCATCTACAGATTTTATATGAGAGATTAGGAGTAGAGATCTTTGCTAAAACATAGATATACATTTGCCCTGAAATTCCTGCTTGGGAGGATATTTCGCAGACTATTTGTAATGAGTGGATTCTTGGGGTATCTGTGTGCTTTAAGAGTTCAAGCCTCCAAATGACATAATATCACAGGCAATGATATGACTGATATTTTTTTACATGTACAGCTTAACGCACGCAAGCGTCACACCTGAGTTCTCCGGTACTTTAGCCCCACCCACTCTGGCTGGGCTCCGCTCTGTTCTAATAATAACATGAGCTCATTTACTGCATGCATGTAAGTGCCTAGTTACACTTACCTCATTATGATGCGTTGCGTGTTCCGGCATGCTGAGCAATTGTTACCTTCGCTGGCATTCTTGTGTATCTCTCTCACCCCTTTGGACGTTCCGGCTCTTGTCCTGCGCTCTGGATTTGGTGCCGTCCTCCGAGTTGCCAGCTTCCTCCCTGTGACGCACTGCCTGTCTCCTGACCATGTTATTCAGTGTTTACCCTGTTTGGCCAGGCTTTAGACTGGTTGTCCACGTTTGGACTATGGCTGTTTTTGGGAAAATAAGTCTGCCACCTCCAGAGGTGGGAAATTCAGGCCTAGGGAGTCGAAGTCCAGACCAAGATTTAGTTTCAATCAACCAGTTGAGTATTACTTTATACTCAAGTGGATAGATCTTCTCTCATGATTGTGTGATACTGAGGGTGTATATAACATGTATCACGTCATATATGCTGAAATATCTATTTTCCCCATCACATGACAGCAATAAAACTCATATTTAATAGGATTATTACAAGAAGATAGCAGAGATCTTTTTCATGCTGAATTGGATTATATTGCTTCATTAGCATTAAATCGAGAACTATGGCTCAGCTGGTAAGATGTATTTTTGCTGTTCATTCTTCTTTCCACATTGTCAGCCTTTGATCTGCATTCCCTTCTGTAGTTTCATTCCTAGCTTATGCATTTGAATGTTGCCATTTCCATACACCCTCGTGTTGCCGCATTGGCCTGATGGGGGCCTTTCTCTCTGTGCTTTGCAGACCAGGGGGTGACTCTATGCCAAAGCCCCCAGGACATGGTGGGGCAGCGACTGGCGGATGTGGGCTACCAGCTGCGTGAGGACTGCCACCCGGGGCTCGACTACTGGGACTACGTGTTCCTCACCGCCGTGGGCATCGCCATCTTTTCAGGGGGCACCATATCCGCTTGGGTCATGGGAGTGGTGTTTGTGCTCTATGACCGTTACTTCGAGAAGAAGGAAGACGATGAAGAGGGTGAAGAGGAAGATTTCCAGAGAGATAGCTCTCGAAATGGGGACGTCAAGCCCGGCAAGAACGTTTGACAGCCCCGATCGGCAGAGGGGGGGGCTCAGGTCAGGAGATGGGATTCACAAGTCTTGAAGCGTGCCTTGATGTCATGGAGACTGGGAGAGGGAGATGTCTATCACGTCCTCTGAGACGGTACAGTCTGCCCATTAAAAACACAGGAGGCCGTTCTTCCCACAACTTGGTTATGATTCTTTGTTTGTAAACAAAAAGCAAGCATTATCAAAGACCCCATCATCATGGCTGTAGGTTAACATTGCCCCCAGGAGTCCTAAGTAGGCTTGCTGTTCCCCGTGTTCACTTCCAGAGAGACCTTGGTGCTGTTATCCACGGTGGCTAAGAATGAGGTTTCCCTACATTTCTTTCTCACAAAGCAGCAAATGCCTTTGGAGAATTTGGAAAGCTATTCAGATGGTGTGAAGACACCCAAAAAGAGCTCTACGGAATGAAGGAAACTATTGGTTTGAGGATGTTTTTTGTCAAAACACATCTCCAAAAATCCAGTAATCGGTCACTTATATGTGGGTTGGTTCTATAAAGCTAACTTAGCTCCCTATTGTAATAAATGCCTGTTCAAATCCTATTTGCTAGGGTATTAACAAATGTCTTCTTCCATCAAGACTAAATTGTCTCCCGAAAGAATAATGGGCTTCCAATCCATTAGGGAGCAGTCAGGTTTGCCCTGGGTTATTAATGACACCATACCTAACAAAAATGGCATTGGAACAAAATGTCATAGAGAGTCATTGAGTCTAGACAGCAGTGAATGAGAAGGTATTGATCGATTCAGGTCATTTGGGCTGGACAAGGTTGAACGGCTCTCATCGATGCTCCACCCGTAGCCTTATGGTCATGACGTAATTCTTCAGCAATAATGTCACAAGCAGGAGGGTGTGCAGGAGGGGAGCTTAACACCAGTCTAGGCTAAGCTGGTTTTACCACAGGGGCGCTGGGGGCAAAAGATTCTTTGAAATGTCATGGAACACACTGTCTGAGGGGTTAGCAAAATCAGGAATCAAATGCAGTTCAATCCCACTGTACCTTAGCCTCTGCTAATGGGCTCAGCTCCTCATAAATGCTACAGAGAAGCTGTATCTATTGTGCATGCTTATCCTGGCCAGACTCAGAAGCGATGACAGCACTGAAGCTCCTGTGCTTGGATTTCTGCAGCACTTTCACAGAGCCTGTGAATCAGCGATAGGGGCCAGACAAGTGGATCAGAATCCTCCAGAACAAGTAGATCTTTCATACAGTAGTGCTTACGCGATCCTTAGAGCACAGACAAAAGCAGAAAATGGTACCAGCTGAAAGTACCAGCTTCGTGTGCGGTGATCACAGCGACGGCCCTGCACGCCTGTAGTTTTTGGGTTTTGCTGCCTATCACAGAGATCATTATTAATAAAGCAATAATGGGCAGTACTCAGTCACCAGAAACCCCGCCCTCTCACAATGAAGCCTTTGCTCTGTCCCGCCCCCCCAGGCTAAGTGCACGTTTCATTGGCTGACTGGATGTGGCAAGACTCACCAGAAACTCAGGGGTTTCTCACTGTTTGACAGTGGCAATGCCTGCATTGTAAAAGGCACTTTATCATGCATCTCGAATGGAAGCCTGTGTTCTTGTGCAAGTTTGTAATAATAATAATAACAATGATGATGACAATAATGACAATAATGATAATAATAATAATAATAATGTAATCGTATTTTTTTGTAATTGAATGGGGCTACAATTAACAAGTTGAACCGGTGACTGTTCCTTGTGTCTTTTAGATCTAATCTGTCTTATGCTAAAGTAAAGCTCTGTGTATATGGATATGGTCTAACTGTGTGTTTTCACTGATGAGTTCAAGCTAGCCAGGTGCTGCAGTGGGGGGGGTTGGGATTTAATTTCACGTACAGGCAGCCCCCAGGGTACTAACAAGATTTGTTCTCTAAGTCTGTTTTTAAGTTGAATTTGTAGGTAAGTCGGAAAAATAATAATACAGTATATAACAACAACAACAACGATAGTAATAATAATACAGTATATAACAATGATAGAAATAATAATACAGTATAAACAACAACAACGATAGTAATAATACAGTAATAATAAAAGTAACTACATACAGTACTGTACTGAACGTCAAGCTGATGATCTGCCAAGGCCACGCAGTATCTCCATGAGCATCACAAACTGTGCGTGCATTCATTACTATGAACTATTGTATATAACTCAAATTTTTACTATAATATGTTTTATGGCAGTCTGTCTGTACATATGAGTTGTCCGTAAGTTGGGCATTCTACCCTGGTGACTGCCTGTATATTATTTTATACGTATGATATGTATGTTTAGAACATATAAATCAACTGAATGCCATCTTGGCAACCTGCACAAACAGAAGTGACATGCGGCGAAGAGCTCTGTACGCCCCAACGGAGAGTGCTCACATGGAAGGTCCCCGTCGGCCTTGATCGGCATCCAGCGAGCGGAAAACGACGGCAGATGATGTGAGAGCGGCATGCAGGAGCCGGGCCGCCTGCGTGGGTGGAGATGCTCTTTGGCTCGCGGCAGAGGATGCTCGGTGCTCTGTAGGTGGTGATACCCAACGTTGCGACCTGCCTGATCTTTTGCATGCTCCCTCAGTGCACGCACTCACTCGCATCCGGGCCCGACTGTGCGGATATGTAAGCGGCAGCGCCCCGAGCGCTCTGCTTCCTAAACACACCGATTGCATGCTTGTGGTTACTCTGTGTTTCAATGCCAGCGACGTCATTGTTCAGTGAGAGGGATTACGGTTCCTCATTTAGCCGCGTCTGGGAGTGCGTCTGCCTCTTGTTGGAAGCTGGCAGTGGCCTTAGGGGAGACAAAATGACAGAGTAAATTGCAGTAATTAGAAAGCTGCTTCAGATCAATGCAGGAGCCTTTTAAAAATCTGTGGTTGGTTAGCAGAGTCTGCTGGCTGCATCTGTGGGACAGACAGAGGTTCTGGCGAGTGCGGCGACCTTGGGAAGATTTCCCGAGGCCATGGGCCGTGATGTAGCTGCTTAACATCTGAAGCCCGCGATCCTGGGGAAACAGGGCCAAGAACCAGGAACACGGGGAACGTGGGGAAGCTTGAAGTCGTCCTCAAGTGCATCAACGACTGAATAAAAACACTCTGAGGTAAAAAAGTGAGGAATTACAGGAGATTCCCCTCCTATGACACCTGAGTGTGGTGTCCCTCAGAAATGGGGCTTTCCTTCCAAATGAATCCCAAATCTTTCACATGAGCTTGAAGCTTAAAAAAAAACATTCCTGTCAGTTTCGCTGGACATCTCTGGGAAAACATGCTTACAAAGGCTGTTTGTATGTAGGATTTAGGCCATAGGGACAAGTCTCATATGGTCCAAATCAGAGCTGCACTGTTATTAGTCTGCTCTCTTTGGCCAGAACAGATTAGGAAATACTGGGGGGGGGTACTGGGAATTGCAGCAGTTTATTCATTTTTTGTATTCTGACGCTTATCTTCTTCTCACCGTGACTAAGCCGGAATTACTTTTCCTCCGTCAGATTAGCCACTCGCACAGCCTGGACAGCAGGATGAATTCCCATGGTGCACTGGGAGCCTGTCATGTCACTTTGAATGGGCATTGGGGGGAGGGGGGACAGAAATGGTTTCTTGCGATAATGCAAGGCAGGTTAGCAGAGGCTCTGGCTTTTGACGCCGGGTGAAGCTTTACTTTGGATGACGCTGCCGCCCGGCTAATAGAGGCCACTTCTGTGCGTGTGATGCTGATGCCGAAACACGCTGTGGCCTTTGCGCCGATGTCCACTGCTTTCTGCGCACACACCCAGGGCCCCTCCCCAATAGCCATATACCTGCCTGGGTCACCGTCAGGTCAGGAGAGTGCTCACATCAGCGACCCTGTGACATCCACCGCAACGGCTTCTCATCTCACTAGGGAATCTGTAACCCAAGATGCAGGTGGGGGCTGCTCAGCCTTTTGTTTTTGTTGGCCAACAGTGTTACTTTAAACCTAAGTAACTTATACAGTGACTATCTATTAGGAGTAATACGGTATGACTTTTTGGCCTTTCTTAACCCTGGGACCCCAAAATGAAAAAAAGAGACCAATGCCACCTTATCCACTAATGCATGATCACATAAGTGAGTGGGGGGGGGCTATAACATTTCTTGCTCCCCCAGAAAATAAAATTCACTTTCACATTTTTGTGGACCCTCTGCAACTACCCTCCCGACTTTCAGGGGTTTCGGACCCCAGCCACATTTTGACTGCAGGGTTTGTGTAGCTGGCAGTGCAGACAGCGGAGGTTCTAGACCATTTCAACTGGGGGGGCCAGACTGGGGCCAGTTGCTCTGTTAGGGGGGCCAGATGCATTTGACCTTAATGTCCTCCATATATTACTTACACTGGCAAAAGATCATTTTGAAAACCGACAAGTTATTTATGTGATGCTTTGCAGTCACATTTTGCAGTTTTTACAAATATGTAGCTCACTCTTGTTTTGACTGCCTTGCTTCCACAAACATGATAAATTTCTGTCATTAACTTCACTTTTCACCAAATGAAGTGACTCGACCACCCAGTCCACCCACGTTAAGAGTCTGTCAAGAAAATGTGCTTATGTTTGTGTTTCGCTTGTTCCCTGTGCACAACATTTTAGCCACATATATAATGTCAAAAATAATAACAGTAATAATAATAATACATTTATTTCAAACCCAAGTAGCATAGATATTTAGGGGGGGGCACGAGGGGGCCATGTGTACGCTGTCACGGCCTTGCCTGGACCCCCCCAGAACCGTCCCTAAGTGCAGAGACAGAATGTGTGTATGTGGACGGCCTCGGTCTCTTTGTGTGTCCAGATGGCCTTGGCTTGTTCTGCGCATGCGGTCAACTTGTTCTGCGTGTGCAGACGGCCTCGGTTACATTTGCGTGTGCAGACGGCCTCGGTTACATTTGCGTGTGCAGACGGCCTCGGTTACATTTGCGTGTGCAGACGG